ATACTGGCAATGTCCACTGGAAGTTTCTGGAGAGTATGTTAAATATCTATCATGCCATTACAATGTCAGGTACATTTTATTTTTTAAATCTAATCAGTGTTTGCTGTATTACGTTGTTTACGTATCATTTTCTGTACATAAATGCAGTGAACTATATGGTGTTTCTAGTGGATCCTGCAAAAAGTTTCACAGAGGAACCTAAATCCAATCTTGCAGCCAAAAGATTCAGGTAATTTAATATATAATATTGAGAATAACTGATATACTAGTGAAGTGCTTGATTACATTTACATTCTGTGTTTATCAATGTAGATTTGGTACATTTTTATTTTAAATATAAAAAAATATTTTTGATCTAGTTATAATTTAGATGTTTTAGTGTTCGATGTGACTGTGATGCTGAGTATTTATCGCCACTCTAAAGTGAAACTGGGAGTATCTGAATATATAGGCTAAACGGGTTATTTTTTAAAAAAATTTTTTTTTAGTTCAACATCAGATAGTCCTGACATTGTGTGAGTGACCGTTTGAGGAGGTATACTGTCAATCTAAAGTGAAAGTGGTCTGTAGAAACTGAGTTTCCTTTTTAAACCAATCTGAATTGTCTGACAAAGCTGCATTTTATGAGTCGTTGGAGGGCTTTTATTTTGTAATTCGACATAAGATAATCTTCGATAGATAAACTTTCAAGATGGCGCCAGCGTGTATGGCTTGCCGTCTGCAGCTTGTCTGGTTGTTTGTGTTCGTTCTATGTTTTTCTATGATTCTTCAACATGCTTCAACCGCACTGGTCTACGACAGGCTAACACTAATGGCTATCTGAAACTCTGTTGAGAAACTGATCTGGCAGAATCAAGCATTTACACTCCACCGTTTGAGTTCTCTATACCGGAGAGTTTACGCCGGCCGGCTTATGCTGCTCCTGGGAGGAAATGACGACGCAGACGCGGAAAACAAGGTGTTTCGACTAGATGGGAACTATACCTGGCATCTTCGGCCGTGCCTCACTCTGGCTCGTGTCTTCTGATGTGGGCTGGTTTTGGGTCGCTGTCCCTCCTGGCACTGCTTCTGGCGCTGCTTGGGGCCGCGGTGTCGCGGACCAACTTAAGCCAGCAGCCATGCTTCAAAACATACCTAACCAGCATATGCAGGTTTTTTTCAAAAGAGGGGTTTTCAAACTGAGGTCCGTGACCCAAAGCCAGGGAGTGTGCAAAATAATTTGCTATACCGTGGCCTATTTTCTAGACTACAAGTCACTTTTTTTTAATCTTCTGAATCGTGCTATGATTTATATTCCAAAGTGACTTGTATAATGCATTAAATGAATAAGCAAAATGTAAACTTAAAAGTGGGCATCTCGGGGGTTTTATGAATATATTTCTCATGTCTGTGTGACAAGTAGACAATATCGCTGAGTTTTTCTTCATTTCAGGAAGAAGTTCACAGAGACCGAGACGGCAAGCGCATTTTGTTTGTTTTCTATATTTTACAAAAGTACGATGTTTCACTGTTATTTTGAAGGAACTCAAATAAAAACGGACCGTTTTGAATGACGTCTTGCTCTTATCTGACGGATATATCTTTCCACTGATATAAAGTGTTCGCGCCTGCGCCTCCTGCGTGCACACAACAGATTGCAAACTTGACATCGCAGCCTCTTCATTGTCAAAATAAATGACAACTAAACACAAAAGGTAAAGGTATTTGGTGACTCAATTTAACGTGTCGGTTTGTGCTGGTGAAGTAGTCAGTTCCGTTCTCTTCTGGAATTCCTGTTCCCCCTCGACGAGGCTTGCAATCTTACAATTATTCCTTTGTTTTTGTCTTATGTCTGACTATGCATTTTAAATTTTGCTTATACAAAATTACACTAATCGGTCGGTGCTGACGTCCAAACGCGATGCTTCGTATTAGTGTTTCCATATAGAGCTACAATACATTTTATTTAATATTCTATTGTTGACCTTCTTACTGATACAGTGGCATATTTTGAATCTGAACACTTCACCAAACATTATTGTTTTTACAAGAAAGCCTGCATGCAAGATAAGAGGCCAACCATTTTTTTTTTCAGGATTCCATGACAGCCCCTATGGAGCACATTGTGGAACTGGAAAAAAAAAAAAAAAAGATTTCAGCTAGATTCTACTGGCCTGGAATGAGAGTGGACATTGATAAATGGGTAAATATTTTTTTTTTTTAAGTTTTTAATTTTGCTGTGATGCATACAAACTGATTATGTTATGGAATGCATTTCTCATTTGCTTATTTCTGAACATCAAGTTTTGCAGTGTAACCAGTTCCAGTTTAGTAGACTGTCCATCAAGCAGGAGCACAAGTACATCCCAATACATGTATGTAAGCTTGTTGTCCACAGATGTGCATGGATTTTGAGACAGGGAAGTAATTAGGTTACTAAATTTAAATGTATTAATGTTGCGATTTTAATTTTAAGGTGGACAAGCTTCTAGAACTGCTGGGCATGGATTTAATGGGGAAAGTCACCAAGACCAACAATGGAAACGAGTACATTTGTGTCCAGGTTGACTATAACACGAAATGGCCAGAGGCCTATGCTATTCCAAATAAATCTGCCGCCGTTGTCTCTTGCTGCATCATTAATTTCTTCTACAGGTTTGGGGCACCAAAGAGAATACTTACTGACCAAGGCACAGAGCTTGTTAACTAGGTTTGTAGTTTGTTGAATGGGGAAAAACATTCAGTATGCATGAAAATGTTCATGTGTGCATAGGATTCTGATTTGTACACAACATTTATGGTTCATTGTATATTTGTGATGTATGATTTGTAAACATATCAATGAAAAACTCTGTGCCTTTCTCAATGTGGAGAGAAACCTCTGTGCTCCATATCATCCACAAACAAATGGGCTTGTGGAAAAACTTAATGGAACCATTCAGAGGTAAGCGTTCATTAATGGGTTGTTTTGTGGGAATGTCATCTTAGAGAAAAATTGGTGTTTTTCCAATTGGTTACTGATAACTTTCAGCTCTCATTGTGAAAGAGAATGTCAAAAAAAAAAAAAAAGGACAGGAGACAGAGGGTGGCAAATCAGGCACCCTTCTCTGTAGGCCAGAAGGTCCTACGAAAAAAACAAAGACCCAGCAGAGGAAAGGGGGCAAACTGGAGCACAGCTGGTGGGACCTTATGAAATCATATCTTTTAAAGACAAAAGCACAGCTTAATTTGCATACATATAGCCCAACTGCTGCATATGCTGTCATTCGTCCAAGCAAGCCAATTTGGAGTCCCAGGAGAACGCGACGTCTGCGTCCAGATTCTGACTGTGTCCAGAAAAGCAGCAGAGGGATGGCTAGTGCTGCTGAAGTCCGAAAAGAGGGTGAAGACACGGTGGAAGGATTCATCTATAATGTGTCACCCATAAAGCAGTCTAGAAACATTTCTCAATTTATTACCAGTCATTCAATGCGCTAGGCAGGAGTACCACAGCCAACTTCACTCAAGCGGGAAAAAAAAAAACAGCAACACATTGAGGCTGAGGAACAACAGGTGTGGCATAAGTAAGCAGCTAGTTGTTTTTATAGATCAGCCTCACTGATGCGTGTATTGTAGCTCATTGCTGAATCGGCATTGGGCTCGGTTTTAAATAAGGACTTTTGCTTGTTCCTTAGGTTTCTCTGATCCAGACAGCTACGACGTGGTATACTCTTGTCGGACCAGCCTGGAGGTGATCAGGTTGCCGTTTTTGTGGTGCATGCCGCTGAGCTGCAAAAGGATGACTATAGCGGAGGTGAAGGTCCTCAGTCTGAAGCAGAAGTCGCAAGTCACAGAGAAGTTTCAGAGCTGTACCTGAGTGCTTCAAAATTAAAAGAAAACTAAATGTTGTGTTTGTGGTTTGTTTAGGTTGGAGAGGTCCGACTTGGACTTCACGGACTGTGGACTGTGAGCTTAAAGAGGTGCAGATCTGCAACGGGATGGGTGAGCTGGTGTCGCAGTGGGATGCTTTGTCAACGCAGCTGAGGCCGGCAACTCCTATGCTTTCAAGAACCTGTTTATGCGAGAGATATGGGTGCTTTTGCCTGTGCACTGGTACGTCAAGCATTGAGCAGATTGCTCACTTTGAGGTGGCGGAGGGAGAAGGCAGCTAGCAGGAAGACAGATCAACAGCACCACAATAAAGGGCATAGAGGTGACGATTCAACTGTGGTGTTCCAGCTGCTAGTACAAGCACAGGGAGTTTGTGGAGAAGTCGAAGATGCACAGGTGTGAGAGCTGCAGACTAAAGGAGGCATCGCGGTCATTCTCTGCCTATTTTAGAGAGAAAGCTACTGTCTGCACTGACAATGGTGAGGAGAGTGTGCTGCTGACCAGCTCAGAGCCGTCTACCTATTTGTGTGGCGCCAGCCTCACAAGTATGTTCAATGATGCGGAGGCAATCAAGGATCACGTTCTGCAGTTGTCTGCCTTTGACCTGAAAGTTAATGTGGATGGCTTCCTTCTGTCTATCGAGCCAACGGATGTGGGTCGTGCATCCACTGCGTAAGAGCAGTGGGACGTCGATGCAGCGGTGTCTACTGGTTCAGTGGCCTGAAGAAGTGTTCTCGGAGTTCAGCTTTGTTAAGAAGACTACAGTCTGTCAAATTCATTTTTGTTACATTAATAACTCGGGATGTAACGATTCACTCAACTCACGATTCGATTCACGATTTGTTTTAACAAAATGAGATTTAAGACAAATTATAAATTAAATGTGTCCTTTTATTATTGCTTAGACAAAATACTGTACATTTCTTTGTGAAATTGAAATAACACTATAATAATGATAATAATAATAATATACTAATAAAACAATTGTAAATTATTGCTCTTGATGGTTTTGATTGCTTCTATTGTCCTCATTTGTTAGTCGCTTTGGATAAAATAATTTGCTTAATAACAAAATTTGAATATAATGTAAATGTAAATAACAAAACTAATTTGAAATGTTAAAACAAGCCCCAAAATCAAATAACACAAATAAAATAAATCTCTTCATATAAACAAAATAAGGCTTTGTCTGTGCTCTTAACATTTAAAAATAGAGGCATTTTAATCATGATGCAAACAAACAAGCTGCATACATGCAACATGAGCAGTTTTTAATCTAAATTAGATTGTATCATTTCGAAATTTGAAGCAAAAACAGAATGGTTTGACTTCAGTTTTGTGAAACTATGCATAAAAAATATCTGCATGAAACCGAAACAGCAGACGAGCTGAACGAGACGCAGATTCTCTCTCTGCCAGCAGGTGGCGCTCAAAGCCTTTCCTTGGTTTCTGCTGTAAACAAAGCAGCGCTGCACTTATGAGCTTTAATATGCATTATACAGGAGGCAAGAGGAAACGAAAAAATACCATCGAAAGACAGTAAGTTCCCCTCAGACATGGATTCATATAAACTCCTACACCTAACTGAATCGCGATTTGTTTTAGAATCTCAAACGATTTGAATCTTCACATTTAAATCGATTTTCAACCGGCTCGCGGTTAATCGTTACATCCCTATTAATAACCTATTTGTTCTGGTTTCACTTAAAGGGAACATTTAAGTCTTATAGACATGCAGAAAACTTAATCTAATCCTATTCGTGTTGTCTGCTTATTTCATGGGAGTAAATAATTGAATGAAAGGTATCTTGTTAGTCCTTCTGTTTGGCTACATTCACGCTGGATTATATTTTATCTTACGAGACAGCTGCTGTCTATTTCCACTTGCACAAGCTTATTTCTGCGAAGACGGTCAGCATGCTTTCTACAAAAACATCTGACGGGTTTACGTTTTACATGATGGAGCATGTGAAAAGCTACTCGAAATATGATCGGAGTGGTCAGACTAAAAAAAAAATGGTTTCCAGAAATGTGATTTAAACAGGACCTCAAACCACATATGAATGTAGCTTGAAATGGATTTGTAAAAATTGGATTTCACGTGATTTTTTTGTTGGTTATACATGCTAAATATGATCAGATTCCAATCGGATATGCACAAAAATCAGATCTGAGCAAGGCTTTAAAAGTGTAGTCCTAAATCTGATTCAGGTCAGATGTTTTGCAATCATATCGGAACTGTTATGTCACTCTAGCTCCACAATGTGAACAGCCATATAAAAGAAATCTGAATTGAGCACTAATGCTTGCAGTGTGGATATAGCCTGACTTGGCAAAAGATTAAAAAAAAGCAATAGAGCGTTTGCACCTACATCATGGTTTGGTCAGTTACCCGGATGCGCGGCCATATTTGGAGATACTCAGATGTAAACAACAGCATGGATTGCACGGTTAATGTACTACAGAAGACATTGTTCTACTAATTTAGTGATAAAGATCCATACAAAAGCTGGTTCCTTTGTAGTGGACTGATGACCCAACCATTCTTCGATTTCTTATCCTGACAGTGTACTACCTTTTTCTTTTTTCACCAAGCCCATACACAGCTGAAGACCTTAAATGTTACAAAAGGTTTGGAGGCCTATAAGCAGATGGTGTGTGGATGGGTGAGAGGCACAGCATCAGCTCATCAACAACATGTGGATTGTGAAAGCCAAAGTAGGTGATCCACTGCTCTTATAGCCTGTTGCACCAGCTGCCTCTTCAGTTAGTTTATTAAAGGGGTCATATGATGCTGCTAAAAATAACATTATTTTGTGTATTTGGTGTAATGAAATGTTTATGCGGTTTAAGGTTAAAAAAAACACATTTTCCACATACTGTACATTATTGTTTCTCTATGCCCCGCCTTTCTGAAACACATAGATTTTTACAAAGCTCATCGGTCTGAAAAGCGAGGTGTGCTCTGATTGGCCAGCTATCCAGTGTGTTGTGATTGGCTGAATACCTCAAGCGTGTGACGGAAATGTTAAGCCCCTTACCATATTGTGAGGCCGTGTCCGGCCGGAGCGACGAGACAAAAACATTAAAACCCATTATAAATTAGGCATTTATTGCATCCAGTGGGGACATAATTACTGATTATAATGACTTATACTGTCTTTTATACCGTCTCCGCTTCGTCCACGGTGAAAGCCGATCCGGTGATCCACAGTGAAGTTGATGTATTTCCTCAGCGACCAGCACGGATCAGCTCCAGGCATGACAAAGCAGATATCGTCCTCTTTTGGAAGACCAAACAAAGTAGTTTCACTTTCACAATGAAACGCACAGCGCCTTCACGACATGGCGGCGGCAGCAACAATACTACAGCGAGAATAAAAGTTACGCCTTCTTTCTTTGCGTGAACATTTGGGCGGCGTTATGCAAATTTTCCCACACAGTGACGTAGACATGTGGGGCCGTGTTTAATCGAGGCGTTTTAGAAGGACATGGATGAGTCTTAACTTTTATAAAGATTATCTCTTTGGATTTGAGACTTTAGTCTTTGCAACTTTACAGATCTTCTTTATGCACCAAGAGCTTGTAACACTCCAAAGAGAAAGGAACAATTGAAAAAAAAAATCACATCATATGACCCCTTTAACATGAAATGGACATTACACAAACAGGAATACTAATATGCTTTGACCTTCTAATATCAATTTATTTACATTAATAAAAGGTTAATCTGAATATAAGTTATTCATTTAATTTTCAATGTGAAATTTGCATTTGTTTATCATGAATAAGATTTTGCATTCAGGGGTGAAGTGTGGCAACGGCAGCAATAAGACTTCTCTCCAGGTTGAGTCTGTTTCGTCTATGTTTGCCGTGGCTGAAAATGCGACCTCACACAAATAGGTTGATCCAAAAGGCAGCAGTTCATACAGAGCACATTTCCCTACATCAGGGTATTCTTTCTCAACACTGCACCAAAACTTTGTCAGTGGTGTCTCTGAAAACAATCTTCAAACCCCTATCTGAGGACAAATCCATAAGACTAACGGGAGAGGTCTCAATTATTAATTTGGGTGTTATAATGGATTCGGCTTTAGTTTTAGATAAACAGGTTACTAGTGTTGTGAAGGCTGCATTTCAATCAACTCAGAATCAGAATTATTTCAAAACTGAAATCAATTCTCTCATTTAAGGACCTGGAGACTGTTATTCATGCGTTTATCATCACACATTGATTACAGTAATTCTTATATATATATATATATATATATACAGTGGGTACGGAAAGTATTCAGACCCCCTTAAATTTTTCACT